CTTCTTCTTCTTCTTCTTTTCTTCTTCTTCTTTTTTCTTCTTCTTCTTCTACTTAAACTTCTTTTTCTTCTTCTATTGCTACTACTACTTCTTTTCCTATTCTTCATTTTCTTTTTCTTCTACTACTACTACTGCTTGTTTTCTTCTCCTTTTTTTTCTTTTCTTCTTCTTTTCTTCTTCTTCTTCTTCTTCTTCTTCTTAAACTTCTTTTCTTCTTCTGCTACTACTATTTCTTTTTCCTATTCTTCATTTTCTTTTTCTTCTACTACTACAATTACTACAACTTCTTTTTCTTCTTCTTCTTCTTCTTCGTCTTCTTCTACTAAAACTTCTTTTTCTTTTTCTACTGCTACTACTACTTTTTTTCCTATTCTTCATTTTCTTTTTCTTCTACTACTACAACTACTACTACTTCTACTACTACTTCTTCTTCTACTTCTTCTTCTTTTCTTCTTCTTCTTTTCTTCTTCTTCTTTTCTTCTTCTTCTTCTTCTTCTACTTAAACTTCTTTTTCTTCTTCTTCTATTGCTACTTTCTTTTTTCTTCTTTTTTCTTCTTCTTCATTTTTTTTTTTTTTTTTTTCTTTTACTACAACTATTCTTCATTTTCTTTTCTTCTTCTTTTTACTTCTTCTTCTTTTCTTCTTCTTCTTCTTCTTCTTCTTCTTCTTCGTCTTCTTCTACTTAAACTTCTTTTTCTTCTTCTACTGCTACTACTACTTCTTTTTTCCTATTCTTCATTTTCTTTTTTTTTCTATTATTACAACTACTACTGCTTCTTTTTCTTCTTCTTCTTTTTTTCTTCTTTTTCTTCTTCTTCTTCTACTACTACTTCTATTTCTACTACTTTTTCTCGTTCTTCTTTTTCTTCTTCTACTACTACTACAACTACTTCTACTACTACTACTTCTTTTTCTTCTCCTTCTTCTTCTAATACTACTTCTTTTTCTTCTTCTTCTCCTTTTTTCTTTTTCTTCTTCTACTACTACTTCTTTTTCTTGTTTTTCTTCTTCTACGACTAATACTACTTTTTTACTTCTACTACTACTTATTTTACTAATACTACTACTTATTTTCTTTTTCTTCTACAACTTCTACTCCTTTTTCCTATTCTTCTTTTTCTTCTTCTACTAGTACAACTACTACTACTTCTTTTTCTTCTTCCTCTTCTACTGCTACTAATACTACTACTCTACTTCTACTACTTCTTTTCTTCTACTACTACTACAACTACTACTACTTCTTTTTCTTCTTATTTTCTTCTTCTACAACTACTCCTTCTTTTTCCTGTTCTTTTATTTTTCTTCTACTACTACAACTACTACTATTTCTTCTTCTTTTTCTTCTTCCCTTTCTACTGCTACTACTCCTACTTCTACTACTACTACTCCCTTTTTTTCTTCTGTTGCTTCTTCTTCTGCTTCTTCTTCTTCTTCTGTGTCTCTTTAGTACGTTGCTGATCAGGCTCTGCACTATTTACTATCCTCCGTAGTACTTAATAAATTTTATGTTTTTGTTAACTCTTCCAAACTCTATTCAGTCAACCACTAACAAAATCTCATTAGGTACGTTCTGTGCTGCTTTCCGCCTCTTCTCTTCTCCTCTTTTTCTTTTTTTTTTTTTTTAAAGCATTTCACCCAAAGCAAGGCGAGAGTGCCACTAGCACGCAAGGGGTTACAGAGAGTGGAAGCGTGAAAGAGAAAGGGATGAAAAGAAGGACCAGGAACAGACCAAGGCATCTGGAGATGTCGATTAACATTGCATTTGAATATTTGGAGATGATAGCTATCAGAGAAGCAATTAAGAGGAAGGGAGATCCACAGACGTGAAGTGCGAGATAAGAAGCTATTGGAGTAGAAGAGACGGCTACATTTAACCGTTTCGACAGTGATTTGTTGGGACTGCGATAGCAGCCTAGTAGCACGCTTAAATTCATGCAGTGTGGGAACCAACGAAAGTAGCTCTTCGGAGCAGTTACCTTGAAAATATTTGTAGAAAAGACAGAGGGAAGAGACGGCATGTCACTGAGAAAGTGACAGGTAGACGAGATGCCATTTCAAGACTTCAGTATCTGATGCGAATGTCACATTTTTAAGCCGCCTTTCCTGATTGTGATAAATTTCAACTGTTTCCTTTTTATTCTAATTATAAGTGTCTACTTTGTTTCTCTTTTCACTAAAACTGCACCGTTTATCACGTGGTCTTCTCAACATCCTATAGTGAAAGCCCAAACAAAAAAAAAACAACACTATGAAATTCTTAAAATACATTTTTTTAGCATAAATACCACATTTTTTTTTATTATAAATACCAGTATAAATGACTAGTAATACAATAATTATTATAGAATAACCAACAATACACAGCAAAATAGATTTCTTCGGTAGTTGAAGACATATAATTGTATGAAAATAGATTTTGTATCTGTCTATATTTCTGAGATGAGTTATTATGTACTCTATTTACATTGTGTTAATCTTTGTCGCCATGTTTATCCCAACGTTTCATCCCTTCAGTATATGTCTATATTTCTGAGATGAGGTATTATGTACATTATTTACATTGTTTGTTGCTATATTTATCACAACGTTTTGGCCATTGTACGCTCCGGCCTTCTTCAGGTGGTTGGAATGTCGAACTGAACCCTTTATTTCTCTTCAAGAACACATGACGCAATGGATAAAGGCGTTAGTTAGATCCAGTGACAAGATCCAAAGAGTGTGAGTTTAAAACCTGGTGAAGGCGGTGGAGAGCTTGGAGAAGGGGATTAACAAGAGATAACTGATAACTGACATCCATTAGACATGGCACGTGGAACTAGAACAGTCTACTTCAGCGAGCGAAATAAAGGGGTCACTTCAACTTTCCGACTACGTGAAGAAGGCAGGAGCGTACAACGGTCGAAACGTTGTGATAAATATGGCAACAAAGATGAGGACGATAGTCTGAATAATGTAAATAGTGAAAATAGATTTACTCATAAATCATGTTCAAATTCTTTAGACTTCGGCATTAAATAACTCATATACGTTAATATTGCGCTAAACAAAATAAACCAAACAATCCATAGGGAGATTTCCCAGCAGTCCCTGCGCATGAAGATCTTGCATAACACACATCATTCTAGCATTCTTTTCTTTGTTCCTCGTGATGTTTTTCCCGTTTCTCATCACCTTAATTTTTGCAATACTTGTTCGGATTTCCTCTCTTTTTTTTTTTTTGTTTGTTTTTTTGTTGTTTCTTTTTTTGGGGGGGGTACCCCCCCACAAAAAAAAATTCCCATATATTTAAACATCGGTATCTGTTTAATCTTCAGATCTCCAATTTGTAACTCGCATCGTTGAAAGTTAATTTTCCTGGTTACGACCATTTCTGTCTTTTGCTGTTGATGGTTAGTCCTTTTGTCTCGTTCTCTTCTACCGCCCTGTCTAGGAGATCCTGTGGTTTTCTTTTTGAGACGGTCACAAACACAGTGTCATCTGCCTATCTTATATTATCATGATCACGCCCATCGATAATAATCATTGCTAGGGACTCCAGTTCCCTTAGGGTAGCGTCACCGTAGAAGCTGAATAAATATGAGAAGATCTACCCCCTCGGCTAAGACCCGCCATGCTACTCTCACTGTAGCGAACCAGCAACATTCCCTTCGTGTTTCAGTGGTAAGATGTAAATTCTAATCGAGCACCTTCCTCACACAAACCGCTGCTTAGTACAGTCGACTCCCAAGAGGATGCTTCCCTGGTTACTACAATATTAACATATTCAAGTCTAGGGTTTTTCACATAAAGTTTTAATCTTATTTTTTAAGCCTTTACTTAGAGTGGCACCCGGGCTTTATACAGAGTTACTCGCCATCTTTCATTTTGCCATCTATTCCCACAAGCTAGTAAGGTAATTTGTTCGTTGCCTTCCCCTATCTCTCTTGCCCTCAATATGCTCCGTGAGGGTAACGTTTTCTAAGGACTTCCTTCATCATTATGTCCAAGGAATATAAGGTGTCTTTTCCTGATACTGAGTGAAAGTGTTCTTTCTGTTATCATTCTTCCCTGTTGCTTATTTGTCCGTACCATAAAATTTTCCGTATCCTTGTACAGAAACAAAGTTCTGTTGCTTTTAGTAGTCTTTTCATCATCCTGAGGGAAATTGTCCCACAGTCACTTCCATATACGAGGATACCACATAGCCACCTACGTTTTGCTTTGTTTCTAAAAATTTTTTCGTTTGTCAGCACTTTGCTTAGCTTTTTAAATATCCTTTCGCCAGTCCAATGCTTGTTCGTATATCGGTGTCCAACTTCTGTGAAAATGCTTCCTGGATATTTAAACTTCTGCGACTGCTTGGTATATATATATATATATATATATATATCACTAAATCGTAACTCGCATCTTTTCCTATTCTTGATGAACATATTTTAAGTCTTTTTGCCGTTTATGGTTAGTCCTTTCTTCTCGCTTTCTTCTAGTACCCTGTCTAGGATGGCCTGTAGTTTTCTTTGCGAGTTACCTATCAACACAGATCCATCAGCATCTCTTTCATCGTTAAGATTGCACTCACAGCTAATAAATCCTGGAATGGTAACCATCTCCCTTAGGATAGGGTTGCTGGAGGCGTTGGAGAAATCTGGTAAGGAATCATACCTTGTCTCACGCCATTTCTGTTTTAGTTTAACTTATAAGAAGCCATTTTAAGAGACAACCTATAACATCAAACAGACAGTTCACCAACAGCGTACGAGAAAATAGTGGAGATGTTTACACAGGTTTTATGGCCTGGCATCGTTTCAAGAGAATTCTTTGAACCAGGAATAAAAGAAATATTTTCATTGAGGTCTGCTCTCAAAGTTAATATTGATCATATATCCTTGAAAACTACATTTAATGAGTGCTACACTGGAACATTTTTCTATTCCGTTTTCAAGTATTCGACATTAATTTATAAAAACCGTAATGTATAAATTCATTTTCTCAACGGAGATTGAATAAAAATGAATAAAAATTAGTCAATAAAAAAGTAAAAATAAAGTTGCAAGCTAAGCAAATAAAGAAAGGAGAAGCAATAGAAATATGTTGAAAGAAAGAAAGAAAGAAAGAGAAGAATAAATAAATAAATAAATAAATAAAGAAAGAAAGAAAGAAAGAAAGAAAAGAATGGAGGCTTAAAAAGATATGAAGAGATTAAGAGAGGGGGAAAAAAAAAAAAAGGAAGGAAGGAAGGAAGGAAGGAAGAGCCAAAGAAAGAGACCGAGATAGATAGATAGATAGATAGATAGATAGATAGATAGATAGATAGATAAAAACAGACTGTGATAGAAAGAAAGAAATTGAGATAGAAAGAAAGAAACTCAAGTAGAAAGAAAGAGATACGGATAGGAAGAAAGAAAGAAAGTATGGAAGAGAGAAAAAGAGACTGCGATAGATAGATAGATAGATAGATAGATAGATAGATAGATAGATAGATAGATAGATAAAAAAAACTGATAGAAAGAAAGAGAACGAAGAAAGAAAGAAAGAAAGAAAGAAAAAAGAAAGCGACTGGAATATAAAGAATGAAAGAAAGGAAGAAAGAAAAAACTGAGATAGAAAGAAAGAAACTCAAGTAGAAAGAAAGAAAGAAAGAAAGAAAGAAAGAAAGAGACTGACATAGATAGATAGATAGATAGATAGATAGATAGATAGATATGAACAGACATAGATAGATAGATAGATAAATGGATAGATAGATAGTTATGAAGAGACATAGATAGATAGATAGATAGATAGATAGATAGATAGATAGATAGATAGATATGAACTATAGCTATTTTGCTAGCTAGAATTGAAAATGAAAAGAGCGGAAAGGAAAACACATAATGGAAGAAATGAAAGAGGAGGACAATCCAAGTATGAACTTTTTTTTTCAAATTTAATTCAAGGATGATTTTAAGTAGAAAAAATCTATTTTCTCCAATTCCAAATGTTTTCACTGAAATAATTCATCTTTTGTCGGGTCTTTTCATACTTATTCTGCCGAGGAACAACAACATAGTAGAACTCATTATGTAATTGTGATTTCCTCAACAAAGGAAATAAGATCGAGGAGTGGATGATCATTTTTAGAGAACTGCCGAATATCCAGGGAATAATCAAATCCACCTCGACAGCATTAAAATGATTATCCCCAAATTAGGAATATATGAAATCATTTCTTGTGGAAATCATCTTAAATTATTCTGATATAAAAATTACCATCAATTTATATTTCAGTAATTATATTATTAGCAATTACATTTAATCGACATTTATGGCATTTAGCTTGAAAGGCTTATGCAAAGATTGCCCAGATGATCATGTCGAACGCTTACCCAATTACGACGGAAACAAATTGTCTTTCTATCGCTCTTTCTCTTACTCTTTATCTCTCTCTCTCATATATATATATATATATATATATATATATATATATATATATATATATATATATATATGTTGGTCACACCAAAAACTCGCTTTCAAGATGCTTGACTCTACATTTGAATGATAACTCTAATATTTTTAGGCATTTAAAACAACATGCCTGGCCGCGTACACAATTCTGGAAAATCCTCGTTGAAAACACAACTATACTTAAACATGAAAACAATAAATTAAAAAAAACTAAAACTTCTTGAAGCTATAAACATAAAACAGTTGAAACCTAATATGAACAAAATAAACTATGAAATCTCCACAAATATTCTTAAATGGCTATAATTGGTAACAGATGCCATTCGTTTATACCAACGGCTTCCCATACTTACTACTTCTCTTTTTTAACTCTCGCCTCGTCATCTAAAATCACCTCATATGGGAAATAGACTATTTCGGAAGACGAAGGTATCGGTCATCTGTCTTGAACCGAATTCGAGTCAGAAATTGGCTTGAAGCAATTGGATTCCTAGCCAGATTGATTATATAGCGAAACCTATATATATATATATATATATATATATATATATATATATATATATATATATATGTGTGTGTGTGTGCGTGTGTGTGCAAATATATAGAAAATAGGAAAGAACTTGTTAAGTAAATAATCCGAAGTTCTTTAGTATTTTTGTTTTTATTTAAAAAAAAAAAACAGTGCTGGATACAAAAGTAGAGCCTAAATTATAATTTATATATAATAATTCTATCATAATATTTTATAAATTATATATATATATATATATATATATATATATATAGATATATAGATAGATAGATAGATAGATAGATAGATAGATAGAACATATATTTAGGTTTGCTATATCTCCTTCTGCACAAGCGTGATAACACTACGATTGTCACGTGATCAAAATATGAGGTTGATCGTGCCAGTTATCTTGCTGTTACAGTGTGAACAATGCCGCTTCGTTAGCAGTGTGCACCAAGCCGAAATAAAGAACAGTGATCCGGTTTCTTTGGTCACTATGTTTGTCAGAGCTTGAAATTCATTGATGGCTTCAACACAATACAACGATACTGCGATGAAGTGTGTATGAGTGAAGCGAGAAGTTTAAAAATGGGTAGACAATGGTGACGCACAAAGAATGAGCAGGACGCTTGGCAATCTCCACCACTGGCAAGAAGATCCAGCAAGCTCGAGTGATAGCAGGTTCGAAACCGCGACTCATCATCGATGAGGGCGCATATTCTCTTGAGATTCGGATCATTGTTCTTTGTTCCTCCTTGGTAAACACACCTTGTACCACATTTAAGCTACGCTTAGAACATCAGTTTTAAGGGCACCTCGGCGTTATGCAATGGTTAGCAAGCATGTCCCGTTAGATGAATTACGACTGTGTAGCAAGTTTGATTTTCACTGGGTGCCTCATACATTCGTTCTTGTGCCACATCTAAGCTTCTCCAAGAAAATCATTTCGGGTACCTCAACTTTGTGTAATGGTTAGCAAGCTTGTTTCGCTGGATCAGCTAGATCGTTCGACAATCATTGGGTACTCCATATTTTCGGCCTTATACCCACTTCATCTACGTTTACAACATTCACCATTCTTGAATTTTATTCACATTCTTTTCTTATTGGATGCTTTTCTGTTGTTTATTTATCAATTTTTGATTTATTTGAAAAAGATTTTGCACCGCTCAGAGCAAAATATTTAGGGATGTCAGCAAACAAGTAAAATCAATCCAAAGGTTTATCGATATATTTCTCCGATTATTTGCCTTGACATTCACCTGATGTTAAAGTATATTGTGAAATAAATCAAGACACAAATAAATACAGTATATATCTCTCTCTTTCTCTATCTATGTATCTATCTATCTATCTATTATAGATTTTTACATGCGGACAAAAACAATTACTCACTACAAAGATGCATTCTTGTTTCGATGCACTATGTGCATCTCGACTGGTGAGAACGAAAAATTGTTATGGACAATTCAAGCCGGCCCGCAACAAAACAAGTTCTCACCAGTCGAAATGCACATAATGCATCTAAACACGTTGCATCTTCGTAGTCAGTAATTGTTTTTGTCCGCATATAAAAATCTGTAATA